TTTATTTTTTGAAATTAAGTGCTAAATGAAAGACTGTGATACTTTAAAGCTTATCTGACAATTTCAGGAATGAAAAAGATTGGTCAACATTCTGATACATTACTAAGCTACCACAGAATTGGGAAGCAAGTTTGCACCCAGAAGATCCCATCCTCTGAGACAGTTATACTTATACATGAACCTGCTCTGCCAGATGATAGGACTTGCAATGCACGACAGGTCTGGAAAATGGGTGAATCAGTACTTATCTGATCTTACTAGCGAATTTCTGGAGAATCTGTTTGATTTTGAAGGGAGAAATTATCCACAATCTCCCCCCTACAATAAAATATCATGTGTCTCCAAAGTAACTGCAGTTATTTGATCAACTGTTGTAACTTTTTCAGTGAATATTAGGTGATGATTTTGTTGGAATGATAAACTGAACCGTGAAACCTATTTTTTCTCTGTGCATATTATGAATTTGGCTGTAGATAGGGGATATTAAATTATATTTGTACATTCTTTTCAGACAAAGTTATTCGAGTGCACGAGAAACGTGTTTTTTGGGGGGGCTGGAGAGTGAAGCTTTCTTCCTCTTCCTGCGAACAAGTGGTCCAGCTGATGCCAGCTTGTGACGGATTGTTTGATAATTAGAATGAAAGATCATGACTTCGATTAATTTAACTAACAGTGCATCATAATCCCTTCGAACACTTGAGACCCCACCTCTCAAACTTTTGCCACTCTTGAATAACCAATAATCGAAAATATGAAAGGCTCTAGAGCAAGAGGCTTCCTTGTCTAGAATAAACCGACCCCTCACTGGCTTCGATGAGTCCACCTTTAATATTTCCGACAGTTTCATCGTCCAAGGGTTTTCTTTCATGAATTCTGGACTACTCTGATCGATATCTATCCATAGCGTCCTGTAGAAGCCCATGAGTTTCTCGAGAGCTCCGGGTGCTAATGCTTCTTCGTTATAATCTTCAATTAATGAAAGATAAATAATGATGATGAACGTGGCCACGTTCGTCAACTTAGTAACATATTGAACGATATTTGTGAATTCAGAGGCTGATGCTGCAGATGCCAAGACGAACTCCTTAGAGTATGTCCCATCTTGCCCGTCATCCAACCATCGTTCAAAAATGCGTTTTTCCAATACTTGACGACCATCCAGATCAAGCCTTTTTTTTGACAAGTTCAAGAGGATATCGAACAGGGCTCCCTTATGTCGATAGGCGGTGATCTCTGCAGCTTGTGGAACGACATCTTTCTGAACATCTTGAAACTTTCGAAGCACCTTCTTTACCTGAGTTTTTTTCATCGAGAAAAATTTCGTTGGTTTGTCCTCCCCTTTACAACCATTCAAAATTTTGGAAAGTCCTTCAGGATGGAGGTTTGCCCAGGATTCTGTTGGATGCTTTGTGCCTTGAATTTCTGGCACATCAATCAGATGCTTCCAATACACGTAATAACAAACAGCTCGCCAGTTTTTTTGTTGATCC